AGTTGACACCAGACTAGGTAACTACTACAGACTGCTAGCCACAGGTCAGGAGTTTGAAACCACCAACAGCTCCCCAGGAGAAAGACGAGACTCCCTCCTGCAAAGTTTTATAGTTTCAGAAACCCAGAAGCAGTTCTACCCTCTCCTATAGGGTCGCTGCGAGTCAGAAATGGTTCAATGATAATGAATTTGAGCGAAACCATGCTGCAGGGTGTTCTACGAACATTCAAATAGCCAAGGGCCAGTCCAAAGTATTGTTACAACATCCCGGAATCTTTATGAAAGAAAAATTGCAAAAGGTGGAGCTACTGTTTCTCCTTCATCCAAGCACACACTTCTGCGAACAATGTTTCCATCTCTCTTAGCCACCCCCACCCACTTCTCTATGCTCTTCTATGTACGCCCTGTAGAAACAACAGTTGGGGCATCTGAGGAGGACTGGAATCATGTCCATGGTCTTTTTAAAAAAAATCATTTTATTGGGGGTTCTTACAGTCTTTTAAACGTCCTTTGAATTTGGAGAACACAAGTCTACAGGGGCAAGATGAGAGCGGCGGGGTGGCTGACGCAAGGTTTCCTGAAGAAAGTCTCCTAGGACAGCCCTCAAGACCCCCAAGGAATAAACAGGTGCACTGTCCTCTGGGAAATGCCTCAAATCAATTTTCCTGGCCTTTTGCTCCACAGGGCAGTTTTTAATTTTCTTAAAGTGTTTTCCTAGTAAGCCCCCATGGTGGTTGGGTGTCCTTTGAGAAAAATACGCCAAGAGGATTCCTTTGGGATCCCAAAACCTTCTGCCGTCCCCTTCGGAGCTGACCTCTTCCGCGGGAATGGACAAGCCCCGCAGATCACCCTCAGAAGCCACTGGTTGGATTGGACCCTTTTTTTTTGAAGGCCCCTTAATGAGACTAGAACAAGTATATGACTGAGAGAACTTGTCTGCAGCCATCCACGGGCGGCAGAGACAGATGAGACACGGTTTGTTCGGAAGAAGCCTGGGAATGTACAAACTGAAGCCCGGGCAGCAATACTTTTTGACTTGCCTTGGTGGTAACTCGTTTAATTCCCATGTTATCCCTGTGAAGTGGGGTCCCTTATTGTCCTCCCTGGTCCTCACCCGGGTGGTGGAGTGGCATGTCCAAGATCCTGCTGGTGGGTAGCCAAGGCGGGCTTTGAACCTAGGTGGTGGTGGTGCCTACTGAGAGCTCAATCAGTGAGGCTGGAAAGGTAGAGTGAGGACGAACCCTGAAAAGCCTCGAACACTGAAGCCAAGGCGCACTTGGACTTGGACAACAGACGGTGGTGAGCCATTGGCGAGTTTTGAGTCAGCTGGTCACCTGAGTGACCCCGACTACAGCGTCGTGAACAATGTGGTCAGGGCTGTGTTGGGTGCTGCTGGGTATGGGGCCGGCTTCCAAAGCCGGCTTGGCAGCCATTGGACAGCGGTAAGTGGAACCCAGGAAGTCCTGACCTAAAGTCCCTTGGGGCTGTGATTCAGAACATTCTCATGCCCCAGCAGGTCCCCACCTCATGTTTGCTTTGGCCCAGGGGCCTCCAGGGGAGAGCCAAAGCCACAGGGTGAAGGGAAATGCGTGCCTTCAAGTCCCCTCATCCCAGACCCGCTGCACCCTCCGGTCTGGCCTCCCACCGCCACCTTGAGGAGGAGATGGGACTTACCGCCTCTTGTTGCTGCCCAAGGATAGCTTGTTTTAGCTCATTTGTTTTGAAATAAAAGTGATGCACTCGTGATTTTTTTTAAATCCAATGAATGACAGAAAATTGCCACCCCTGACATCTGAGACCACTGCCCAGAGATAGGCAATATTAAATTTCGTGTGCTTCTTTCCAAAATTGTTCTACAGCCGGAGGTGTCCTGTGTGTGTGTAATGTTTGTTTTTTATGCATAAGTAATGCATTCCATCTAACTTTCCTTGGGCATCTAGTTCTGCCTTACTCCTTAAACCATCTTAGTGAACACCTGTACCCTAACTCACCCAGCCTCTCCCCGCCATACATGCCCCCTTGCTCCAAGAGTCAGGAGCACATAGGCTGCCTCCACGTTTCTGTTGTTCTAAAGAACACTGCCATGAGCATCTCTGGGCACACAGCCTGCTTGGAAGTGACCCGTCCTCTCCTCGTCATTGTTCTATTCTGCGCTCACCATGTTGGTCCATGGGGCTTCTCTTCAGGGACGTCTCACAGGGAGTCAGCCTGCTTAGGAGAGTCTCCAAGGAAGTCAGTAGAGTGAGAAGATGTCTCCCGCCTCCAAGGAGTTCCCAGAATTCCCAGGAGAAGGCCAGGCCTACACAGAGACCTCATTGGTTATATGTTGATTGACAGGCCAGACTCCAGTCCTTCCCTCCTAAGCCTCTCAAATTGACACCAGATTATGTAACTACCACACCTGACTTCCTAGCTGGCCAGCCAGGACTCTGAGCCCCCATGGCCTCCCTGCTTCCCGAGAGCTGCACAGTAGCCTGAGGATTGCTAGAACAAAGGTGTCCTGGGCCGGTGGGACCCCAGGGACTGACCATGGCTTTGTCTTCCAAAAAGCATACATAATGCCGAGCCAGCCCTTCTGGGGTCTGAACCCTCCAGATCAGCCCCCAAATTGCTGAGCCAATAAGAACTAGTCTACTATAGCCAGGCACTCCCCTCCCCCTTACTCCAGGCCTAGGGACCAACCTGGACTACAGCTGAAG